AATTCTGAAACAGACCTGTTTTGTACCAAGTTATTTTTGGGATAAATTTTACTGGTTGCTGTTGTGGAGAAGGTGGCATTTTCACCTTTGCCATAATAAACTAGAAATGTGTGTAAAAAAAGAAAAAAGAAATGATGATGGATGGAGAACAGCCTGCAGGCTTCAGGAGAGGAAAATGGGGATGCTGATCTGATTCATTAAGCACCAAGCGATCCAAGAAGTTCCCACCGGAATTTCCATTCCTGTGTTCTTCGCCCTGGACTTGGCTGCTTCCCACCCTCTCGCTCTGTTCTTTTGCCCAATACCTTCATTCCCCCTGGGAAGATGGATACCAGTGTGAGGGGCCATTACTGAAAGTCTCTTGCTTCTGTCTACAGAAGGCAAAAACATCCCCACACATGTTGAATATTCAGATATACCTCTACAACCCCACTGGTGACCATTTGGGATGAGAATCTATGCTTCTCACATTTAAAGCATGTCACGGTCATCAACTACGTACCCTGAGATCTCCAGGAACATGGTAGTGTGAAAAAGATCAAGACTGTGACTTGGGAGGGTCGTGAAGTTGAAAAGATGGGAAGGCAAGATCGGGATGGTCTCCTTTCTCGGTCCTACTCTTCCAGTTCGCTTTCCAAGTATTCAAAAAAGAGCAGGCCCCTCACCAGATAGCAGAGCTCCCACCTCACTTGATGGCCAGGAGGTAGGTGGCACCCAGCTGCTCCTCGTCTGAGGGCTAGAACACGTCACCCACTAAGCACTTTGCCCGTGTTCCAGCCGTTCTCTGCTCTCTTCGGCAGGCCGTGAAGTACGCTCACCGCACTCAGCACACGATCGGATCAGGAGACCCTCTGGGAAACTTCCAACTGGACATTGACGTATCGGGCTTAATCTTCACTCATCACCCCTGTTTCAGCCGAGAGCACGTGTTAGCAGCCAGGCTGGCCCAGTTATATGACCAGTACCTTGCCAGACACCAGAGGAACAAGGCGAAGTTTCTCACAGATAAGGTACCGTGATTGCACTGCCTCAGGGCTGCTTCTCCCCGTCAGCCCAAGCACGAAAGCTCTTTTTAGTGGTGCGATGTTCCTGCCCTGCATGTTCCCGCTGTCTGAGATGTGCAATAGATTGTCCTGCGTAGAAGCAAGGGGGTGGAGGCTGTGCGGTTTTATGGTTACAAATTCAGCTGCACAAACTTGACTTCAAGAGGAATTCTGTGCAAGGTGTGCAAGGTAACCCACCCAGGAGAAGGGTGTATTGGCAGAAGTGGCCACTATTGCCCGAGGTGGTCTCAGTTCCTGAGATCAGCTGTGGCTAGAGAAGCTCTCTGTCCTAGGAGTATTCGTGTCTGTATGAATTTTTCCCATAAGCTGCGGCAGCTAAACAAGAGACAGCTGCCTCCGTTGGTGCTCAAAATGAGAGCTGCAGTTTGGAGTTACTTCTACTGTGACACTAGCTATGGATTTCCACTGTAATCTTAACTCCAGGCCATAGTGCATTAATCTCTAAAAATAATCTTCCTCACCTCAAACACACTTCTTGCATCATTCTTACCACTTTCTGAAGCAAATCTGGAAGTTCTTTTTTGTAAGTGTCTTTATACGGTGTGATCAAAAATGCAGTGAATGCTCCTGCCAAGTTTCACCTGGTGGAAAGACAGGACCCTAAAACCATTCGGTAGTTCTTATCTGCCTTCTCCACCGGATCTGGCACCCTATAATCGCTGCTTCTTTTCCAAATGACCACAAAGTGTAAAATTTTTTTAAATGATTTGGTTGTTACAGGTCTCATTGCACAGCTCAGACTCATGGTGATCCTCCTACTTTCAGCCTCCCCAGTGCTGGGATCACAGGCATGTGCCACCATGCCTGGTCTCTGGCCGGTTCAGCCCACCCTGAGGGCAGGGCCAGCATGGCATGTGGTGCTGGGGATCAAACCATGGTCTCTGTGCTTGCCTAAGCTTGCCTCAGCAGGTGCTTTAGTCCACTGAGCTATCTCACCAAACCAAACATTTTGAGCTGATTCAGAGCATCAAGGCAACTACCGCTGTGCACTGGGCGACACCGTGAAGAACTTGCAGAACTTCTTCAGAAAGTGGCGCCAACTGGGATGCATGTGTGTGATGTGAGGGGTTAACAGCAAAATAGCTTCTACCATAGAAAACAAAAGTTCAGATGTACGCTTCCATCATATTCGATCGCAGCCCGTGGTCTCATGTCCTCACTTTAGAACCTTACGATCGAAACAAGAGAGTCTCCCCAGCGCCTTCTGCTGTGAGTCTACGATTTTAGACTTTCAGATCACAAATAACCACGGCACATACAGGACCCAGAAAGACCCCTGCCAGCTTGAGTGTAGACTTGCCTGTGGGGTGCAGACTTGCCTGTGGGGTGCAGACTTGCCTGTGGGGTGCAGACTTGCCTGTCTGGGCCTCAGAATGGGAGTGGAAGCGCAGCATTATTCATTACTAGTCCAGATTTCTAAGAAGAGAGGGAGCGATTCTCTGCGCACGCAGCTTTCCGGGAGGGCTCAGAGGCAGCCCAGCGCTCACACACCCCTTCACAGTGCTCGATCCTTAGCCCAGGGGAGCTGGGCAGTCTGGGCCCGTGGCCGGCCCAGTGGACAGAGTCACTAATGCGAAACTTGTGTCCGCGTCTTTGTCAGCTCCAAGCTCTAAGAAACGCGGTTCGCAGTGGTCTTCATCCTGAGAAGCCTCACCAGTCTCTTGACGCGACGCAAAGGACCATCAATGAATATAAATCTGAAATTCGGTGAGGCAAGTTTGTAATTCTAGCTAATGATTTTTGGGGGTTGGGTATGTACTTGTTTGTAGTTTATTTTCCGGATAGGTTTTCCTGAGTGTGCTGAGTACATGTGAAATTGTGGCAAATGAAATGACACCCCATCCCAGTAATGCAGAATTTGGGGTCCTTGGCTGCGCAGGCCAACATGAACAGGGCTGCTGTCACACTTGCAAGAGGGGATCGCAAAGATCTGGTGTCACTGCACCGTGTGGCTCACAAGGCCTAGGGAATGCCTGGAAGGACGCCTGCGTGTTCTGGGGATCCATGTGATAAGCCGTGGCTGGCCGTTACCACAGTGGTAACCAGTGGCACAGGAAGATTCCACCTCACTATTTCTCTTGCTTGGGGGCTACTCTCTAATGGGAGGTGAGGCAGGGTGATGAGGCTGGCACTTCTTAATCTGTAGTTTTCAAGGCTGATTATTTTCTGGTTAGGAATTTTTTCAAAGAAACACAGTATGTGCTTTTCTGGGTTTTGGATTATTTGTAATATAAAAATTCACAAAGTAGGAGGAAGGTGTATTGGTGCACGCCTAAAATCCCAGCACTCAGTAGGCTGAGGCAGGAGGATCGCTGTGAATTTATGGCCAGCTGAGGCTACATAATAAGTTCAAGGCCAGCCTAAACTGCATAGTGAGTGAGACCCTGACTCAAAAAAAAAAAAAAAAATGTCTTTCGAAAGTTAAAACCATGATTATTCCCCAGCAAGAAGGAAACGTAGAATGTAAAATGTGAATGTCATCTAAAATCCCGTACCTCGGACAGTGTTGTTCTTAAAAGTTTTTGCTAGTTCTTCAACATACTCTATGTGTGTAAACAGAAAAAATGTAGCGAAAATTGGTTATTTTCTCGTTCGATTTTTTGTTTTTGGTGGCATCAGGGATTGAACTCAGGCCCTTGCGCTTGCCAGGGAAGCGCTTATTCCACTGAGCTATCTCGCCAGCCCCCACAAAATTGGTTGTTTTCTGATGCGCCTGCGATCGAACCCAAACCTTGTCCTGCTAGGCAGATGCTTTCCACTGACCAACACCTCGGCCCCAAAACAAATTGTTTTCTTATGGTGCTGGGAGTTGAACCCGAGATCTTCCCGCTGAGATACATCGCCATCTTTTGGGGGGTTTTTTTGTTGGTTGTTTTTTTCTGAAATAGTATCTAGCAGAGTCTCTAAGACTGGACTGGAACTTGTGGTCATCCGGCCTCAGTCTCCCTGAGTGCTGAGATTATAGACGTACTCCACCATGCTTGGCTTTTTAAAAAAAAATTATCTTTCAAGTTGAAAGGAAAAGCATACTGCAGCCTCTGTGTGAGGAAAACTTTTGGTGTAGCCCACAGCGGGCGAGAAAACAGTGACATCAAGCACAACTACTAAGCCCTCCGTCGTGTGGCTTCACTCCAACACAGGCCAGCTCTGTGGCCTCATCCAGCCAGCATAGTGCTTCCCTGCATGGCCGCGCTCGGCCAAGCACGCCCTGTGCCCGAGGACAGTTCCCCACCTGCCCACCCACCCCCTCCCTTCATTCCTGCGCTCACCCGGCCTCTGGGGTAGCGCACCCTCATGCAGCCCTCTCAGCTCAGGACACGGCACCCCATCGCCACAGCTTCCCTGATGAGACAGACCTTCTCCTTCCTGTCCCAGTGCCTCTGTGTCTCAGCACCCACGCGCGCCTCAGTGTTCTTTTCCTGCTCTCCCTCCTCTGCCTGGTTCATGCGTTTTCAGAGCTCCTCTGCTGTTGTTGCTTTCTCTTTATTTTTACCCCTGGTTTTGGGCTAGAGCCCAGGGCACTCTACCCCTGAGCTATATCTCCAGACCTTTGTGTTTTGAGTCAAGGTCTGGTTAAGTTGCCTGGGCTAGTCCAAATGTAATTCTCCTGCCTCAGCCTCCCGAGTATTGAGGTTATAGGCATGCAGCTGTTGTTTTCTTTTTAACCATTTTGTCAGTACTGTTACTTTAGATGGATCCAGTCCTCAAATCGTGTAGCCCAGGCTGGCCTCCAACTCCCAGCAATGCACTGCCTCCTCAGTGCTGCGGTGACAGCCGTGTGCCACCATGCCTGGCTCTGGTCGCGGCTCTTAATTAGACATTCTCTTGCACTGCTTTGCTCCTTTAGCTCAAAGTCAATATTTTCTTGCTAAGAGTTCTTTGTAATATCTCTGGAAATTTATGTAGTTAGAGATTGAAAGGAAGTCAGAAAACAGAAAGCCTAAAGGTGTTGTGTAACTCAAGCAAATAATTTCATATTAGAGTATTTTAAAAAATAAGGTGCACTTCTTTTTCTGGGAAACACCAAATGGCGGATGACGCCGGTGCAGCGGGAGGGGCCGGAGGCCCCGGGGGCCCAGGCATGGGAGGCCGAGGCGGCTTCCGCGGAGGCTTTGGCAGTGGCCTTCGAGGTCGCGGGCGCGGCAGAGGCAGGGGCCGGGGCGAGGCCGCGGGGCTCGCGGCGGTAAGGCCGAGGACAAAGAGTGGATTCCGGTCACCAAGCTGGGCCGTCTGGTCAAAGACATGAAGATCAAATCCCTGGAGGAAATCTACCTTTTTTCCTTACCCATCAAGGAGTCCGAGATTATTGACTTTTTCCTGGGCACATCTCTCAAGGATGAAGTTCTGAAGATCATGCCTGTGCAGAAGCAAACTCGTGCTGGCCAGCGGACCAGGTTCAAGGCATTTGTCGGCATTGGGGACTACAATGGTCATGTTGGCCTGGGTGTAAAGTGTTCCAAGGAAGTAGCCACTGCCATTCGTGGGGCCATTATCCTGGCCAAGCTCTCCATTGTCCCTGTCAGGAGAGGCTACTGGGGAAACAAGATCGGCAAGCCCCACACTGTTCCTTGCAAGGTGACAGGCCGCTGTGGCTCTGTGTTGGTGCGTCTGATCCCTGCCCCAGAGGCACTGGCATTGTCTCAGCCCCTGTGCCCAAGAAGCTGCTGCTGATGGCTGGTATTGATGACTGCTGCACCTCTGCTAGGGCCTGCACTGCTACTTTGGGCAACTTTGCTAAGGCCACCTTTGATGCCATCTCCAAGACCTACAGCTATCTGACCCTGACCTCTGGAAAGAGACTGTGTTCACCAAGTCTCCCTATCAGGAATTCACCGACCAGCTTGTGAAAACCCACACCAGAGTCTCTGTCCAGAGGACTCAAGCTCCAGCAGTAGCTACAACATAAAGAGTTTTTATGCAAAAATAAAATGAATTAAGTCTGTAAAAAAAAAAAAATAAATAAGGTGCAGCAGCTACAGGTCCATGGCCACACGCTCGTGACAGATATCTGCAGCCTGCTGCTGGCAGGTCCCAGGCCAGGCTCGGAGCATGCTGTGTGTAAACTGCTTTGCCCCTCCCCACAGGCCTGTGAAGTCTCCTCACGGGAAGCAGCCCATCGTGGGCCACCTAGCAAGGGACAGAGCACAATTTAAAGTGTGATCTAACAGCTCACGCTTACCCATGAGGCTTGACTGTGCCCCTCAGTAGAACACCCCTATTCCAGTTCGCTGTTTTCTTGCTTTTCTCAGGGCTTGCGAGAATCCTAGATCTTGGCTAATGCTATCATCTTCCTTTGCCACTGCCACCAGTTGAGCAATTGAAAACCAGCTGCTTGCTTCTCTGCCCCATCTCTGCAGAATGAGCCAGCTCAAGACTCGGTCTTCCTGAGGTCAGGAGGGCTCTGCCATGGGTCCTTCTTGGGGCCCGTGGCATCGCTTGGCCACCCCCACACTGTGCGTCACCATCACTTATGTGCCTCTTGGGCAGCATCACACACTTCTCTCTCTGGCTCTTCCAGATTGCCTGGAATGACACATAGCACTTTATTCACAATTTAAATAATCATCATTGAGTCGGGATGTAGCTTTCCTTCATAAAGAGACCTTAAAATAAGGTATAAAACAATTTCCAGGGACATGGCATATTGGAAATAAAGACAAGGCACTTTCAACTGATGCTTCTTCAGGTCAAGTCAAAAATACAGGTCATCTCATTGGCCCTGGCTAGTCTCCAAGGCTGCAATAAGATTACTTCCTCTGCTGAGAGTGTAACTTGTTACCTGTGTTAGCGTGGGAAAACACCAGAGTTTTGCTCTGGACTTAGAGGGCAGAATTCTCTGCGGTGTTCACAAAAACTTCACCCATGAGAGCTGCCTTCTCTGCTTGGTTCCCGCCTTTCCTAGCTGCAAAGGAGTTTGTCACTTTACGGACACATCATTTTAGGAAGAATTTTAAAAAGTAATTTAGCTACATTCAAGTCAGCATCACCTAGAGGGAATAAAATCAAATGAACTTTTCAAAAACCCTATTGTCTTTAAATGTGCATCAGTATTTAATTTTCTTTTAGTAATTATTCAGAAATGTGATGGCCATCTAGTTGAATATGCAATCACGTAGCATTTTTTGTTCCATTTTCATTTGTAAACAAACACACCTACACCACTTCTTAATATACACTTGTCTCTTATCGTATCTTGTAGGGAAACAAGAAAACTGCGTGACGCTGAGCAAGAAAAAGATCGAACTCTGCTCAGGACCATCATCAAAGTGTGGAAAGAGATGAAAGCCCTTCGAGAGTTCCAGAGGTTTACGAATACGCCCTTGAAACTTGTTCTGAGAAAGTAGGCTTCTCAAAAAATCGTTTTATTGGGCTATTTGATCCATCAAAAAAATGTTTGGGGCCAGGGAGATAGCTCAGTAGAACAAGTGCTTGCCTGAGAAGCACAAGGACCTGAGTTCAACCCCTAGTTCTGCAAAAAAAAAAAAAAAAAAGAGAGAGAGAGAGAGAGAGAGAGAAAGAAAGTTTAAATAAAAATAAGAAAAATGTTTAGGGCAGACATGCAGTTTAAACAGTATTAACAAATGAAACAACAGAGCACCGTAGGTACCTGGGTGTCCCCAAAGTCCTCTAACAATAGCCCCTTCTAGCCTTGAAGGAGCAGTTGTCCGCGTAGCTTATCCATGCCTCAGGACAAGAATGCAAAAAGTAAGCAGGTCTCTATGTATCTAAGACAGAACATAATCTGGGGGGCAAATTTCCCAATGCATGTGAATTTCAGGTGCCACTGTGCATCATCTACCATGAGGTCCCTGGCCACAGCCCAGAGGCCTACCAGCTGTGCTGTGGAAAGCGGACCACTGCTGAACCACTAGGCCACACAGGGTCCTAAGCAAGTTATCTGTCAGCTCTATGCATTTCACTAAGTTTACTTAAAATGCATAGCGGAGGTTTAAGAGTGTGGAACTTGGAAACCAGACCATATCAGGAAAAATAGCGCAGTTAATACACGGCACCAACTCTCACGTGCAGGATGGGATCGGGGCGCCACGCGCCTGCCACTCCCCACCTGGAAGTCCCACCGTTCAGTAACATGGACAGGCTCCAAAAGGGCAACTGTGAGAAGAGTTTCACGTGTATCTCATCTAGAGCGGATGTGGCCACAGCGCCTCTGTTCGTAGGATATCTCACGGGACTACACCCTGTGGGAGATACTGGTCTGGCTGGGCGGATGTCCTCCGCAGAATCACCAGTGGCAAGCTCCCATCATCCATCTGATGTCCAGGAGTGGTTTCAGGGCATTGGTAGCACCCAAACCAAGTGGGTCCTTGGACAGTTGAAGAACTGGTGGAACAACTGCAGTCAAACTTCCGTCTGGTAGACGGAAAGGTAGTGTACCCGCACCCAGCGCAGCGCATTAACCCGAGCAGTGAGGCCACCCCCAGCACTTCCCACATTTATAAATCTTGAGGCAGTGTCTTGCTAGCCACTAGGTTACCTCAGCGTCCCAGAACGGGAGGGGGGATTACAAGCATGCGCCAGCACACCCCGCTGTGTGACACACTTAGAAGACGAACTAGAAGGTACAAGTCCAGTCTGTGTATTTGTTGCCAGTAATGTTCTCGGGGTTGTTTCTTAGTCCCCTCATCCCTCGCCATTAATTCCGAGAAATAACCAAGAATACCATGAATTAATTTAAAGGGAAAAGGTTAACCAGAAAGCCGAGGAAGAAGCGTATGAAGCAGAGATTCAAGCCGAAGTAAGTGAGTTGATGGAAGAGCACACGGAAGAGTATGAGCAGAAGATGGAGGAGTACAGAGCATCTTACCAGCAGTGGAAAGTCTGGAGAAGAGCCCAAGTTCGTAAAGCCTTCCCCAGCCTGGAGCAGGGCTGGGTGGGGCGGGTGTAGGAGAGCAGCCCCTGAGGCAGAGGAGGGAGGCGGGAGCTGCGGGCTCGAGCCTCCCGCTGGCTCCTCCCCTCTCTCCCTGCATCCTCCCTAAGAGACAAAGGCACTGGTGCCCTGCTCACAAAGCCGCCTGGGTGCATGCCATGCGCAACTCAGCAGGAGCATCCGTGAGCCTCTGAGTGAACACAGGGATCGCGAATACACGCTCTGAGTGCAGTACTCCTTATTTTGCATGAGGCTATGGCATTTGTCCCTCTATTTGCCTCAGAAAATTATACAACTCCTTACACATGACTGCAAACCAAACCGCAGGGTGGTACGTAATAAACCAGGCTGACCTGCTGCGCCCACTGTGGTCTCAAGCCTTCCATCTCAAGCTGTGTCCCTGGCCTGAAGAGCCAGTATTAGTGATCCCGTGAATAGCAAATATTTTTGAGGGGCCATATGGTCTGGGCGTGGGAACCATTGACCCTCTGAAAATACTCCATAAGTTGAACTGTAAGAAAAGGCTGATATTAGATAGCTCCAAGTTCAGCCACCTGTCTAGGGTAAGTGCTGTGCAGGACCGCGTGGCTGCAGCCCACGAGGGGCTCCCTGTGCTAATCCCCAGGGCAGGCGGAGACCCGAGACCCAGAGGCCCTAGCAAGCTGCTGGCAGTGGGCTGGCTTTCCAGCCAGCTGTAGCCAGCCCTGAAGACCACTCTCAGATTCAGTTCCCAGTCTCCTGTTTGACATCAGGTTGTCTCTTCCCCAACAGAAGGCCAAGAAGAAGAAAAAGAAGCAAGTGGAAGAGTGTCCCGAGGGAGAGACTGAAGACGAGCTCTCTCCTGGGGAGGAGCCCACGAAGCCAGCCCTCCCGGAGCCCCCGGACCGGGCAGCCCTGGAGCAGCAGGCGCGGGAGAGAGCGGCCCACATCAGGAGGCGGCCGGGAGAGCCCGCACTACTTCCAGAGCTGAGCTTGGCGGGGAGCGTGACACCCAGTGACCAGTGTCCCAGGTGAGTGGATGCTCTGGGGAGCTGAGCTGACGCCTGGCCCTGACTCACCCACACCCCGCGCACACCACAGCAAGCGCACATCTCCTGAGCCGCAGTGAGTGGGGCACCACACACCCTGCGAGTGTAGGCTGAGCCGTAGCAGGTGGGGATGTCTGCTCACGTTGGGTGATTTCCAAAGACGCACCCACTACTTCATCCCGACCGGCCACAGGAGAGCCTGTCACTTGGCGCTGCCTATAAGAGAAGCATCTCAGTCACAGACGTCTGCCTGCTCTCCCAGTGGCTGTCTAGAGGGTTTCAATGTGCCTCTTCTGCCCCCTGGTACTGTGTTCCTCCTCCCCAGCATGGACACAGACCCCCACCCCACCCTGCTCCTGCACCAGAGGCCGCCTCTGTCTTTGCAGGACTCCCAAGCTCTGGCAAAGGAAGTTGTGGGAAAGCCCTCGAGCTGCGTTTATCAAGCCACCTGCAGCAGATTCCCTGAACCAATGAAAATACATTTCTAGTCATTCTGATAAGATGAGGTACCCAAGAGAAGCAGTGCTTTTAGGAATCTGCACATAGCACAAATCACAAATGCACATTGTATGCCTATATTCTTTAAAAAAAAATTTTAGTACTCTAAAAATATTGTTCACATTTCCTGTGCTCACACATTAGCTTGCCCCTTGCTGGACACAGCGCCTGGCTCCCATGGTATAATGAGTCTAATGTGGCTCGTGGCTGCAGGAGAGTCAGTCCATGGCTGGCAGACAACAAAGCAGGGACACATGGGGGAGAGTCACCGTAGGGTAAGGAAGGGAGGGAGGGCCGAGGCAGATGTAGACCCAACACCACACCTCTATGGCCTACCCAGGCGTCCCCAGAAATGGGAACATCCAGTCCCCTGTGTGGGTCCCACAGCCCAGTCAGGTTTGTGGCTCCGCTCTGACTGCCACACCTTGTGGCCTTCTAGTCCTCAACCTTGTAGTTCTCAAAGTGCAGCCCCACGATGGATGGGCCTCACTAGCATCGCATGAGAGCTTGCTAGATCCAAACACTCAGGTTTTATTTCAGGCCCACAGAACCTTAAACTCTGGGTGGTACAAAACCATGGCCTTGCAAGGTAGGTTGATAGCTGATTCTGATACCTGGTGTAGCAGGTTGGAATCTGTTGAAATTACCAATACCAACAAAAAATAAGTGTTTTGTTTTCTTTTTTAATGTATTTGGTACAGGGTCTCACTACGCAGTTTAGACTCATAATGATCCTCTTATTTTCAGCCTCCCCAGTACTGTGATTACAGGCATGTGCCACCACGCCCTGTCTCGGTGCAGTGTGCTAGAGGCGGGCTGGCACTACGTGTGGTGCTGGGGATTGAGCCCCGATCCCTGTTCTTGCCTAAGCAGGTACAAAGGGCCTTAGGCAGGTTTCCTCACAGGCTGCCACAACTGCCTAGGTTTCTTTTTATCTCTCCCAGTGCAGAAAATGATGCTTTTTCTCCATGAACAGTATCCACCCAGTACCTTAGATAGTGGCAGAGAGACCCCGCCCCTGCCTGGGAGGTGGTTTTGGGCCTTAGGGAACACCTGGGGCTGACAGCAAAGCACACTGCCCCCATGTGCCTCCCTACTTCCTCCTCTGAAGCTATTGTAGAAAGTGCTTTGGGGCTGACCACCAGTGAGGCATCCTGGTGTGGTAACTCTGGAAAGAAAGGAGTTCAAAGCTGGGTGTGGGGTGCACACCTGTAACCTCAGCCCTTGGGAGGCTGAGGCAGGAGGATTGCCACAAACTTGAGGCCAGCCCGGATTGCACAGTGAGTTCAAGGCCAGGCTAAGCTACATAGACAGATCCTGTCTCAAAAAAACAAGCAAGCACGCAAACAAACAACCAGAACTCGAAGTCCCCATTCTGGTGTCTCCTTCATGCTCCAACTCCACCTCTCCTCTTCTTTCTCTTCTCTTCTCCTTCCCTTCTTCTCCTTTCCTTTTCCCTTCCCCTTCCTTCCCCTTTCCCCTCCTGTTGTGTTGTTTGACACAGGGTCTCACTATGTGTTCCGGGCTGGCCTTCTACTCCCTGCACAGCCTAAGCTGGCCTCCAACTCTCAGCAGTCCTCCTGTCTCAGCCTCCAGGATGCTGAGATTACAGGGCTGCACCACCACGCCAGCTCATCTTTGCTTTTCTAATTGAATTCTGGGGAAATAGGAACAACCCTGTTTGTACCATGGGCCAACCCCAAGCATGTATTGTGAAACTCAACTCCTTTTGCTGGGCTTTTTAAAACTTGCCAACTTTTCTTGAATTAATAAAGGAATATTAACTTCAACCATAAAAAATTGTTGGTCAAATAATAGCACATAGATGACTTCATATGATGAACTTTATAACATAGTGAGCAGATTTTTAAAGGCTTTGGGGTCTTCTGGCTCTCTTCCTGAAAGGCAGTCACTTCTGTTTTGTGATCTGAGAAACAGTTCAGTGCCACCAGGAAATACTTCATCTGCATATTAATTTGCCTACATATGGGAAGCGCCAAGTGCAGGCTGGTTTATACAGCTATTTCTAAGACACAAATACCATCTCATATAATTTTGTCATGAATATTCAAAACATATGATAACAGAGCATACTTTTAAAGGGAAAACTTGGCCTTGATTTAGTGATTTTTTTATGTGAGCCCCATTTTGGCTGTAAACGTACGCCTCAGTCTTAATCCATTTCCGAGTTTTCACGGGGATTTGGGAGCACTGGTCAGGTGATCCCCAAATGCGAGACTGTAATTTCCCCTCATCAGCCCATCAGATAAGGTAACAACAAAGAAAAGTGGGGAGAGAGGCGAGGTCTGTCTGTTGCATGAGGTTCCTGGGAATAGCAATTCAAGAGAAAAGATGCAATGTTCTTGGTGGCCAAGGGAGAGCACCAAAGAAGACCCCAAGGCCATGCCTCTGTGACCCATCCAGACCCAATCTTGCTTGGAGTCCGGGTGTGTCTTGATACTTCTTGCAGTTTGGTGTTAAATGTCCTTTATAGGGGGAAATGCTATTGTTGGAGCAATTTTGCATCTGGATGTGTTTAAATTGTAGAGAAACAAAGAGTTAAAGCTACCACATAATGTAGCGAGTGGAGAATTTCTGTTGGGGGTGATGAGAACTTCTAGAAATCGATAGTAGTGATGTTTGTTCAACATTGTGAGTGTATTTAATACCACTGAAATGCATACTGAAAGTGACTGGAATGATAACCCCTAGGTTTTATATATTTCACCACAATGAAAAGTTGATTCATAAGCCATCACCCAGAGAGCTTGAGCTAGGTGTTAGATTTTAGTGCTTTGCAAGCTTGACGGGCTATCGATGTAACCAAGAACTGGCAGCTCTTTGGGGGTGTCTCTGCAAACGTAGACATAAAATTAAAGACCACTCTTGGAGATAGTGAATTTTATAAAGTTTCAGGCTACTAGACTGCCATGCTTCAACTCTTTCCAGGCCGTGACACATCTTATTCCAATTAGAGTGCTCTTTACAAATAAGACACATTTCTTAATCCTTTGCATTCATTGAGTGGTCACCTACCCTCTGAAAATGTTGAGACAAAGCTTGAGTAGTAGAGATATAGACCTGATGTAACTGCTGTAATATGCTATACTCTGTTTAGCATAAAAATATATCATCCAAATCCTGGCCATTACCATCTCTTACAGTCTGAATTCAATTCTACTTAATGAAGAATGTATTTATTTAAAAATTTTATTTGGATGCAGATGTAAGATTTATTGGAATAAGTCTGGGGAGATAGCTCAGTAGAATAAGCACTTGCCTGGCAAGCTCAAGGTCCTGAGTTCAATCCCCAGTACTGGAAAAAAAAAAAAAAAAAAAAAAAGACTTTTTGGAACAATTTAAGAAGGTTGTACAATGACCATAGTCATGCACTGTAATTCTCAGTTGCCTTCTTCCCTTTGCAGTGTGGTTATTAATGGTTTCTCTATGAATTTCATGCCACACTATTTTATTGTATTATTATAGTGTTTGTTTTATTCTTCAGGTGGCTGTTCTGTGGCTGTTTTGATTAAGTGGCAGCTAACATGACCAAGGATGTTGGCTCCAGGGTATCTTGTTGCGTTCAGTGTCCCCCTGTTGGATATCTCAGGGATCCTTACTAAAGGAATACTGACCCAGCTGCCAATGGTCTCGCTTTGCAGGGCAGAGGTCTTGCGGAGGGAAGATGTGAAGCGGCGCATGGTGTATTTAAAGATTCTCTTCAACAGCAAGGAAGTGTCCAGGACAGTCAATCGGCAGCTAGGGGCGGACTTCCGTGTTCATTTTGGACAGATCTTCAATTTGCAAATATTCAACTGGCCGGAGAGTTTACTGCTTCAGGTACACACTTTAATCATAATCTCTGCCCCAAGAATTCTGTGGTCTTGGCAGAACACCTGGCCAAGGTGCTCAAGTGTGTGCTTGGAGACGGTGTTATGGCTGAATGAACGTGGTAGGCAGGCATTGAGGAAGTGCTCCGGCGCCACTACGTAATATAAGACAGAAACCAATTCCCCGCCAGCGCAAGCACTTATGCTGGGTGGAGCACAGGGGCCAGGAGTCCCCAGATCAATAAATTTAGGTGTCTGGTTGTGAGACTCCTCTGACATATCTCAATGCTGCAGCAGAGGATAAACCATCGAGTGGCAGGTCCTTAGTGGCTCACCCATCTCACCTGGTAGCCTTGGTCTGTGCAAGCAACCAGGAAAAAGAAGAAACTCATTCCCACCTCCAGTTCCCTGTGTGTTAGTTTGGAATAGAAACAACTATAGCATCCTGAAACTCTGATTAACCTGCCTACCATGGAGATGAGGGCAGGCAAAAACACAGAACATCAACAACTTGGCCACTAAGAATCATATAAACTGGTCTCTGTGGAACCACGGCCACACAGCTCAACTTTCCCTTCTGAGATGACCCTGGGGGCCAGGAGGGACACGCACAATGTGGACTGGTGACCTGAGAACGAGGACCTTCCCCTGCTGGTTCTCATGGCTGTTTCTCTTCTCCGGGTTCCAGGTCTATGAAACTGTTGGCCACACCAGCACAGTGTTGCTGGCTGAAGTGTTCCTGCCTGTCCCTGAGACCACCGTGGTCACCGGAAGGGCTCCCATGGAGGAGGTGGAGTTCAGCAGTAGCCAGCATGTGACCCTGGACCATGAGGGGGTCGGAAGTGGTAAGAACCCAGTTATCCTCTGTGGCTCGTGGTTTTGCTATCTTTTTTGCACTTCTCAGGCCACCAGACAATTATAAAAACTCCATCAGAAATTCAAACAATAATATGATTATTTTGCCAACCCCATTATTGGCCATATAAGTGCATATATAGCTATGTAACTGGTAGGTAGTTTGATAGAATGAACTAAAGACCTTTGTAATGAGCTTTGGTCTCTTGTGCTACTTTTTGACATCTTGCATAACAGTGAGAAGTAATGACATATATGGTGAGATTTTTGGACTTATGTGTAAACATAAGAATTATATAATTCTTTATGCCTTTTTTAGAACATATTCTAATTTTTAAATGTTTTTTATTATATTCTGTAGGAACTTAAAGTTCAACATATCAATACTTGATGAAAAACACCTGTTCCATATTATGCCTAAGATGTTTGACATGCAGACAGATAGTGAGGTTAAGCTTAATAGCCTAAGTTGTACGGTAATAACAACAAGCTTGTCTTCTGGATGGCTAACAACCTAAGTTTGCTGACAAAAATTAGAGAAAAAGGAGGGCTGCAAGGAAAGCCAACATTTTGGCCCTAGCATTCTAAGGTCAATTAAGACTCAGGACATATGAGAACTTGTACTGTAACGTCATGTAACTCAGTAGTGTCCCAAATTTTCTGATCAAGGAGATTATGGGGCCAAAGAGGAAAGTGATCGATGATGTAGAGTGTGCCTAAGGAGAGTCACATGGAGAGGAAACATTTTCTCAAACTTTCACAGAGAGCACATTGGCCAAGCAATGGCCGTGACTCATCCACATGGCTGACACTGACAAAGGTTCTACAATCTGAGGTACAGGATCTCAGGATAAATCCTGACGGGATTTCACTGACCTTATCAGACCCAAAAGCTACAACTCTTGTTACATAGGTCCTGCTTTACCTTGGTCTTAACCATCCAGCAGAAAAGTATAAAAACGAAATATAAGAAGTAAAGCCATGCTGTTATGTTGAGCTGTAGAGGACTCAGGTCAACAATTTCTGACATTGCCAGTCAAGCAGAAGACCCAGTACTATTATGGGCTACTGGACTCTTTTAGAATATTTTTCTGAGTTTACACACCTATAATATTCAAATAATGGAACTTAACAAAAAAAGGGGATACAGATGAATGTCTATTTGGTATCTGTGTATTCAAAGTGGCTAGGATAGATATATAGTTACATTCTCTTAATGAATAGAGGGATTTGTTCTAATGGTGTTTGTAAATAGGATATCATGTCCGCATCTTGTACAGCAATTAACCACTAGGAAGAATGTATGCAATGTGTTAATTATTGCAACTGTCCTACCAATTTGATTTGAATCTGTCTCATTGCTATTTGTTTATCAATAAAATTGTGGGGGGAAAAAAAGCACTATTGCAACAATTACTGAAACTGAAGAAAACAAGAGAAGTAATGACAAAGCCCGGGGCATAAAACTAGACATCGTAGTGATACAAGGCTGACATAGTGTAATAATTTTAATTACTATAGATTCATTGACATTCTCTTGTATCCTCTTCTACAATTCTAATAAGAGAGATGATGGATCTTCTCATTGTCCCTTTTTACTTTCTCTTCTCTTCCCCTCTCCTTCTTCTCCTTTTCCTTCTTCATCTTTTTCTTTTTCCGGGACTTGAACCAAGGCCTTCACACTGAGCTACATTCTTAGCCTTGTTTATTTATTTGTTTATTTACTTTGAGACAAGTTCCCACTAGGTTGCTGAGTTACCTGGACTGGGCTTGCACTTGGGATCCTCTTGCCTCAGCCTCCCTGCATGCTGGGATTCTACGTGTGTGTGGCCGCTGTGTCCAGCTCCCCAAAGTTTCTAAACCTTTCTTTAATATATTTGACATCATTTTATTTCTCTTTTACCTTCTATGTGATTTCTTCAAACCTGTGTCCAAGTGTTGGATTTATTCTTCAGTAAAGTCTAATCATTAGAATTCATCTTCATTTTTCCCCTTATATTTTTTAGTCTTAGACATTTCATTTGATTCCTTTCTAATCAGTGACCAGTTCTCATTGGTTTTTCTTCTTTCCTCAGAATATCAGTCATTTCTTTTTCACTCACTCATTCTATGTAACATGTTCAAATATTTAAAAATAATCTGCAGCTGATAATTCCAGTATCTGGGTATCAGTGTGCTCTGCCAGCTCCTAGTTGCAGTGGCTTGATGTCTCATGTTTCTGGTGGTTTTCTGTTTTGGAACTGCTCCTGCAAGAATTCTCCAAGGGCCACATCCAGTCGCCAGTATACAATGCCCAGCGCTGACACACAAGCGGTGCGAGCCGAGCCGCCGTGGAGTCACATAACCCCTTTGAATATTATCTCCCACACTCAGGAAGTGGGTGTCCTGGTACCTCCTTCAAGGCTGTGTAGGACTATGTCAGCGATAAAATGGGATGCGCTAAATGAAGGAAAGATTTGAAAAACGAAGATGCTCTTCAGTGGAAAAGCATCCACTGCTCTTGAGTTAGCAGTGGTAACTGGAAACCGGGACTGTGCAGCGTCTGTATTTGGTGCTTGGAAATTTTTTCTCTTTTATTCGCCCATTGTTTACTGTTTAGGCCGAGCCAGTGACCATAATAGCTTAGAGAGAGCGAACGTTTATGGCGTGCTCGCTGCGTGCCAGGCCCACAGTCTTCACACGCCGTCACCCAGTGAACTCCTGCCCCCACACGCGTTCCGGCCGTGCTCCCTCTAGGAATGCGTGTGCCCACACCTGCACCTCAGTGCCCAACATGCTTCAGCCACGGATTCAGAAGCCCCTTCCTTGAGGGTTCGTCGCTCACTCCATCTGCAAGTTTGTGACATCCACCCCTACAGTACTAAGTCTATTTATTTTAAGACAAGTTCTCTCACTGTGTCACCCAGGCTGACCTTGAACTTCTGACTTCTGACAGTCCTCCTCACTCAGCTTCCTGAGTGCTGGGATTACAAAACTGCACCACTGTACTAAATGCAGATGCTCTTACTTATGTACCTATTTCTTGCCACTTTGTCCACTGACTCACATATAAACTCTACAAAAAGAGATTTCTCTTTAGGTTAAGAGCAAGAATATATTTATTGGGGGGTCCCGAGTGGGCTACCCAAAGAGGAGATTTTTGTTTAAAGATTTTTGAGGGCTGATGAGATAGCTCAGTGGATTAAGTGCCTGCTTTGGCAAGTGCAGGGTCCAGGGTTCAATCCCTGGTCCCATGTGCCCTGTGGAGCCCTACCCCCAGGGTACACTGAGCTGTCACCCAAATCCGGGCTTGGTGGCACATGCTGTAATCCTAGCACTGGGGATGCTGAAAGCAGGAGGATCACTACAAGTCCAAGCTACAGAGTGAGACCCTGTACCAAATATATAAAGTGATAAAAAATAAAAAAGATTTTTATTAGTTTTATTTCTTTACTGCTACTTTCACTGCGTACAGTAGTGGCATGAAGTAGTAGCTCAAATAAGCATTGACTAAATGAATAGATATATATCTTTCAAATAATTCTTTGAGGACATTATTATTTTCCCTTATTTACGTGTAAGTCAGCTAAGGCTCAGAGAAGGTGAGTAATTTGGGCAAGGCTACACAGTCGTTTTAGGGAGACTGTGAACGTGCACCCTGAGGTCCCTCTGAAGACTACATCATGGTAACAGGCACAGTTAGAGGGCCAGGAGCCAATGCTGTCCTCGTCCACCTGAAGGATCCCAGTGACAGTGGCTTGGATTCATTTTTGTGCAGCCCTCACCCCACCCACCCACGTTCCACTCCTCCCCCACCTGCCGGGCGCAGGTCCCTCCTTTCTAAACCATGCCTTGTTTCATCTGATGTGTCCTAGGTGTGCCCTTCTCCTTTGAAGCTGATGGCAGTAACCAACTGACTCTCATGACCTCAGGGAGAGTGTCCCACAGTGTGGCATGGGCTGTGGGAGACAACGGGACCCCACTGATTCCTCCACTGTCACAGCAGAACATTGGATTTCGGAGGTGAGGTGGGACTGGACTCATGGTGGGAAGGCGAGTGAGCACATGGAAACCCCCGGGAAAGCTTGCAGTAGCGCTGTCTTTCCTTTTATTGTCAGGTGTCAGAATATTCAGGGTGCTGTCTTTAGGCAAAATCCAAATCGCAATGGCCTAATAAACACTGGGTGTTTATCTGTGTTCGAGGTAGGGACACCGGCATGGGGAAACAGCATTCTGTTTAAGCTGCAGGGACGTGCTGGGGTGTTCTTCCCCCTCTTCCCAGCAGAGGCAGGTGCAGGATGCAGTCCTGTGCATTGTCATTGCTGTGGATGCCATGACTAGCGTAGGACCTTCCGGTTCCATGAAAGCCCCAGCTCTCCGACACCTTCCCATGTCCGTGCTTCGCTCCCTCCCCTTGTTTTCAAGGGAAAGTCAGGACAGGACTTGTCCTTTCACACCCTCTGCATCCCCACTGCAAGCCGGGCCTCCAAGTGATGAAAGCCGCCAGGAGTCGTGGCTCTGGCTAAGCCAGGAGTCCTTCGTGCAGGCTTGGCTGCACTGGGTGGAGCCCTCTGCTTCCACCTTGGGTTGGTGCTACAGAAATCTCTGGAGTGAATCCGGCTCCTCCGAGAGGCGGTGAGGACAGGAGCGATGGTTGAGCTACCGTCAAGGCTCCAGCTCTCACATCCTCGCCTCCCTCGGACACCCTGTCTAGAGCCCGTACTTAAGCAGACCTGGGCTTCCCTTTAGGCATGCCCTGGGCCGGTGTCCTCACGGGCTTCCTGGACCACACGCAGCAGCTCTCTTTCCTGGCCAGGACCCAGGACCGGAGCGCCTCAGCTTGAGGCAGGGTCACCTCTGCGCTCCTTTCATTCTCATTTCAGCGATCATCAAGAGAGAACGCTGATGTGCCAGCCTGTGCCGAGGCCCTGTCTGCAAGCGGGCGGCAGCTCCTTTGGGCAGCCCCTGGGCCTTTGTGACCCTGGAGCAGGATGCTGGGTGATGACGTGAGCCTCGCAGAATCTCAACACTCTTTTCTCTTTTTCTTTTGTACCAGTGCTCTGAAGAGGGCAGATGCCATCTCATCGATTGGCACGTCAGGACTGACGGACATGAAGAAGCTGGCCAAGTGGGCGGCTGAGTCTAAGCTGGACCCCAACGACCCCAACAATGCCCCACTGATGCAGCTGATCTCGGTAATGGGAAGTAGCTGGACTCGAGTGACAGTCATGGAGGGGGGCAGCGAGTGACAGGACTGAATCTGTGCTCTGCTACTTCCCTGGCCATGGGGCCCCTGAGCCCGAGGCTTCTAAGCCCCGTGCTGCCCGCCTGATGTGGTCAGGAGCCGGCGCACCGTGCCCATGCACGCTCAGCGGGGCATACAAACTGTGAGCAATACGCAGTGGTTCTTTATTGTCACTCTTCGAGGTGTCTTTCTTATTGGTACCAGGAATCGAACTCGGGCCTCATGCTTGCCAGGCAGACTTGGTGCTGCTGAGCTGTACCCCTGGCTTAGCTGTAACTTCTGTAAAGGCCCCGAAGAAAGGTTTTATTTTCCAATTCCATAGAAAAGAAACTGAGTTACTTACGGGCAGTCACATGGCTAATAAGTGGACCTCAAGTCTTTCTCTAACATGCTAATGGGGTATTTTAAGAGATCTTTAAGAACATACCAGGTAAACTGTCTCTGCCATAACATTCCAAACTCTTTCCTCAGTGAATTTGTAAATAAAATGGAAAATCAGTTACTAAACTATTTTTTCTTGGAATTCAATGCAGTGGGGTTCATTGCCAACTTCACAACTGGCACAAAAGCACAACGAATGCTAGGAAGGGTAGCATAGGACGACTCTGCCCTCTGGGAAATGGTGTTTTCCATGCTATTTTTCTGTCTCAAAACAAGCTTTGTTTGGGTCTGATTTTTGTCCTTATAAACTTTCTTTCCAGCATAAGACCTCTTTATTTTTGTTTATTTATTTATTTATTTATTTATTGGATACAGGGTCTCACTGTGCAGTTCTGATTCATAGTGATCCTCCTGTCTCAGCCTCCCTAGAACTGGGATTATAAGCATGCGCCCCCATTCCCAGTTTCGATGGCCACCCAGTGTGCCCAGGGTTCTGGGGTATGCACAGCATGCAGTACTAGGGATCAAACTCAGGTCTTTGCATTTGCCAGGTAGGCACTTAGGCTGCTGAGCTATCTCCCCAGCCCTAGCATGAGACCTCGTAAAGAGAATAGATTCATGAAGAAGAGGCCACATTACCCAAACTGTAATGTAGTCCATATAAAGTTTTCAGGGGCTGGAGAGATGGCTCAGTGGTCTAAAGCACCTACTTGGAACAAGCTTGGCAAAGCACAGGGACCGC